AGTATATAAAACTAAGAAAATCATCAGTTCATTATTCTTCCAAGCGGACCCATGTAGAGGTATGCGGGACTACTATTTACACTTGTGCTCTTAGCCATGATCTCTTCTGTCTAATAACAATGGCATTGTGGGCAATTTTCATGCCTGGCCAAGCACCTAAGGAAGGGGCTTCCTCACGTCCCAAAATGTAATTGTTGTCTCATGTCAATGATGAATTTTTTATATTCAGTTGATATCATATGAAAAAACTTTTATTAAACAAAGGTCCCTCCAGTTTAGATCACTTCAGCACTTAAACCCTTACAGAATGCTCCATATGCTTCAACTGTGAGTGGGATAAAAAAAAAAGCCCCACTTGCTGCCTAATCATTGCTGTCAGTGGGATAAAATAAGCTCCACATTGTTGCTGTCTGTGTGAGCAGAATGAATGTGAAATCATTGGTGTCAGTGAAGGCAAAATTAACCCCATACCATTATTGTTACAGGAAGCAAAATTAACCCCAAATAATTGGTTTCAGAGGGATAAAATGGGCCCCTGAAATCATTGGTGTCAATGAACGCAAAATTAACCCCATTTCATTTGTGTCTGTAAGAGCAAAATTTACCCTAAATTGTTGGTGAGTAGCATACATTAAGCCCCATTTATGGTGTCATAGGAAGGAAAGCAAATCCTTATGTTGGTGTCAATGGGATACAATAAGTCCCAAACTATTGGTGTTAGTGGGGGTCAAAATTAATTCCAAATTATTGGTGTCAATAGGAGAAAAATGAATCCAAAATTGTTTGTGTGAATGGGAGCACAATATAACCCCAAATTGTTGTTGTAAATAGGATAAAGTTGCTTCCTTTAATTGTGTTGGTGGAAGCAAAGCAAGTCCCATTGTTGGTGTCAGTAGGATAAAATAAGCCACATTGTTGGTGTCAATGGGATAAAAAAGCCACAAATCATTGGTGTTCAGTGGCTACTTACATGAACACACCCCACACCAACTGCACAGTATTCTGTATTCATGATATAGATACTGTGGAACATTTGGAAACCATGCAGGTTAGCATGTGCTTTTAATGAGCTTGCACTGAAATCTCAGTCAGCTCTAAGCCACATGGGAGCTAGAGTGTAAAACTTTTTAACTCATTTATTTCAGTTGTACAATGCATTTCCATCCCTATTCCGATGGATTCCAGGAAGTCACAAAAAAATCTATATGAACGTGGATGAACTGCAAGCATTTATTAGGAAAACCTTCACCCATCAGAAGAATGAACTGGATGTCAATGATCAGAGGAGTTTAATTGATGTCTTCCTTGTCAAGCAAAAAGAGGTATAACCTATTTTCTATGGCCTATCTGAGTTTTGGGAAGAGTGGGGAAAATCCAACAGGCTGGTTGTACAGACGTCAATTGGTAGATCGGCTTCTGTACAGTCAGCCTGCTCATACAGGGTGTAATAAAGGGTTAGCCTTATTACTTAAACATTTCTATGTTTAACCTTTCAGATATGCTGATATGTTACAATAATTCAGTCAACTCCAGAGTAAAATAATAAAAGAAATATACTTAGCTTGGTTTAAAGATGTATTACAGATGAGGAAAAAAAAATAGATAAATACAGAATATTTCCAACTTCTTCCTTTGAAGTTCCTGTAGGCGACAGTCCTTGATTCATACTTCTCTTATGAATCTAACTCCAATGGCTTTTTGTCTTACAAGCATATATGTAGCAGTCCAAAAAACTAGAAAACTAGTAAAACTGGTTTGAGCCTCACCATAGAATAAAAAGGGAACAAATGTTATGAGACCATATGTCTCAGTATACATTAGACATATCATATATATATATATATATATATATATATATATATATATATATATATACACACACACACACACACACACACACACACACTGTATACTGGACTCTAGAGCAGTGAAAATGTGTTCTCTGGAGTGACAATACACACTTCCCTGTCAAGCTCATGAACATGTCTGGGTTTGGCAATTGTGACAAGTGTAACGTTTGGTGGACGGAGGATTAGGGTGTGGGTTTGTTTTTCAGGGGTCTGGCTTGTCCTCTTAGTTCCAGTGAAGGGAAATCTTAAGGTGTCAGCATACCAAGACATTTTGGACAATTTCATGCTCCTAACTTTGTGGGAACAGTTTGGGGATGGCCCCTTCCTGCTCCAACATGACTTCACATTGCATAAAGCAAGACCCACGAAGACATGAATGAGTGAGCTTGGGGTAGAGGAAATTGAGTGGCCTGCACCTCCAGTCCTGACCTTAACCTAATACAACACATTTGGGATGAATTAGAGCAGAAACTGTGAGCCAGGCCTTTTTGTCTGACATCAGTGCCTGACCTCACAAATGTGCTTCTAGAAGAATGGTCAAACATTCCCATAGACACACTCCTAAACCTTGTGGACAGCTTTCCCAGAAAAGTTGATGCGGCTATAGCTGCAAAGGGTGGGCCAACTCAATACTGAATGCTATGGACTAAGACTGGGATGTCATTAAAGTTCATGTGCATGTAAAGGCAGGCGTACCAATACCTGTGGCAATATAGTGTATCTGTATGATTACATACAGTATACACTAACATAACTGATAACACAAAACTATTACTAATTTTCTGCAAATCAATAACTATTAAAAACCTACGCTACACATGGACTGAAATTCAGCCAGTATTTGCTTAACTGGTCAAATTTCCATCAATGTATGGCAGTCTTTAGATGTCTTCTTCTGCATACATGGGAGCCTTGAAGCTCTAGAAAATGTAACACTTCTTTATAATGCTGTTCCTCACCTCCAGTATGTTCCTATAGCCCTGTCACTATAATATTTAGCCATACTGGCCAACAGTAAGGTGGGAGTAGGTGGGGGTCATTGACAAACACTTCTTGGAAATGTCCACATTTGCCAGTTACAGCAACCTAGTATTTGGAGCTCTATATTATCTAAATTCCAAGGCAAATATATAATGTACTGTAAACTGTGTGAATTTTCAGGAAAAGCCAAATCCCAAGTTGTTTTTCACTGATGTTAATTTGGTACTTCTTGTGTCGGACATATTTGCGGCTGGAATGGAATCATCCGCAACAGTCCTTCGATGGGGCCTCCTGCTAATGGCCAAATACCCTGAAATTCAGAGTAAGTGATTTATTTTGAGCGCTGTTGACCTTGATTCAGGTGAGATTTTATACACCGAGCTCAGTCCCCCTAGCTACCTGAGTACTATTTAATGATGACCAAAACTATATGGCTGAATTAATATTTGCATAGATGTAGTCATGTAACATTACATTCAGGCAAAACTGTGGATGAGAATAACTATGAAGTGCACATGATCACCAGAAGGCTAGGTCTTCACTCACCAGATATCAGAGTCATAAAGGCTCTAAATAGTATGTTGTCACCAGTGGCCACTATAATCTTTTCTCATGGCTGTAAGAACTTTTCACAACCTCCAGAATAGACTCAAGTATAAATGGAAAGAAACCACAATGGTATATTTCAGGCTTATCTTCTTCTGAAAGTACTAGTTGCCTGGATGTCTCTGGCTCCATTAATTTGAGTCGCTGACCTGGAATAGGCATTAAGCAATGAAAGTCAGAATGATGCCAGTACTCCTCATCTGCATACTTGTTGAGAGTTAATAGTTTATAGGTAAAAAAACAACGAAGAAAAAATCCCAGTTCACTGCAAAGCAGGAATAAGAAACAAAGATTTGTTAATAAAAGGCAGTGTGTGTGTGTATATACAGTTGCAAGAAAAAGTATGTGAACCCCTTGGGATTACGTGGAGTTTTGCATGAATTGGGCATAAAATGAGCTCTGAACGTCATCTAAGTCACAACAATAGAAGAACACAGTCTACTGAACATAATACTACACAAACATTAGATGTTGCCATGGTTTAATTGCACATAACATGTAAACATTCACAGTGCAGGGAGGAAAAAGTATGTGAACCTTTGGACTTAATAATTGGTTGACCCTCCTTTGGCAGCAATAACCTCAGCCAAACGTTTCCTGTAGTTGCAGATCAGACCTGCACAACCATCTGGAGTAATTTTGGACCACTCCTCTTCACAAAACTCTTTCAGTGTAGCAATATTCTTGGGATGTCTGGTGTGAATCGCTCTCTTAAGGTCATGCCACGGCATTTCAATCGGGTTGAGGTCAGGACTCTGACTGGGCCACTCCAGAAGGTGTATTCTGTGCTGTTGCAGCCATTGTTTTGTTGAATTACTTGTATGCTTTGGGTCATTGTCCTGTTGCATCACCCATCCTCTGCGGAGCTTCAGTTGGCGGACAGATGGTCGTACGTTTTCCTGCAAAATGTCTTGACAAACTCTGGAATTCATTTTCCCATCAATGACAACAATCCGTCCAGGCCCTGAGGCAGCAAAGTAGTCCCAAATCATGATGCTCCGTCCGCCATGTTTTACAGTGGGGATGAGGTTTTGATGTTGGTGTGCTGTGCCTTTTTTTTCTCCACACATAGTGTTGTGTGTTCTTCCCAAACAGCTCAATCTTGGTTTCATCTGTCCACAGTATATTTTGCCAGTAGTGCTGTGGAACATCCAGGTGCTCTTTTGCAAACTTCAAACGTGCTGCAATATTCTTTTTGGACAGCAATGGCTTCCTCCGTGGTGTCCTCCCATGTACTCCATTCTTGTTTAATGTTTTCCTTATTGTAGATGTGTCAACAAAATGTTAGCATGTGCCAGAGATTTCTGTAGGTCTTTAGCTGACACTCTGGGATTCTTCTTTACCTCATGCAGCATTCTGCGCTGTGCTCTTGCAGTCATTTTTACAGGACAACCACGCCTAGGGAGAGTAGCAACAGTGCTAAACTTTCTCCATTTGTAGACAGTCTGTCTTACCGTGGACACATGAACATCAAGGCTTTTGAAGATACTTTTGAAACCCTTTCCAGCTTCATGCAAGTCAACAATTCTTGATCGTAGGTCTTCTGAGAGCTCTTTTCTGCTAGGCATGGTTCACATCAGACAGTGCTTCTTGAAACCAGTAAATCCAAAACAGGTGTGTGTTTTTTAAGGGAAGGACAGCTGTCAGCAACACATCCAATATCATCACACTGATTGGAGTCAAGGTTGGCTCACTCCTGGCTCCAATTAGCTCTGGGAGAAGTCATTAAGCTAGGGCCTCACATACTTTTTCCTCCCTGCACTGTGAATGTTTACATGTTATGTGCAATTAAACCATGGCAACATCTAATGTTTGTGTAGTATTATGTTCAGCAGACTGTGTTCTTCTATTGTTGTGACTTAGATGACGTTCAGAGCACATTTTATGCCCAATTCATGCAAAACTCCACGTAATCCCAAGGGGTTCACACATACTTTTTCTTGCAACTGTATATATATATATATATATATATATATATATACTGGATTTTTTTTTTTACACTAGTAATGGCAGCAATCAGCGACTTATAGCAGGACTGTGGTGGGCATTTTGACACGGGGGGGGGGGGGGGGGGGGGGGGGGGGGGGGGGACTGACTAACTGTCACTGACATCCCCAGTGACACCAATACAGTGATCAGTGCTAATAAAAATCCTCTGAAGCTGAAGTGGCTAAATATGTCTGTATGTTTTTCTTTTATTGACAGAAAAAGTTCAAAATGAAATAGAAAAAGTAGTTGGTTCTGGAGAACTTTGTCTGATGCATAAAAAGCAGATGCCATATACTGATGCCGTCATCCATGAAATCCTAAGATTCGGTAATATTGCACCAACAGGTGTTCCCCATTCTACTGCTCAAGATGTGACTATAAAAGAATTTTTTATACCCAAAGTAAGTAGCAGATATTATCCTGTATTCATTAAAAGGACTGAGCAATATATCAAATGCATACTGGGCAAAGTAACAGGTTGCCTTTACTCTAAAGAGAATAAGAAACAATATGTGCTTGCCTTCTACCTACTGTATTTCCCAGTGTTGTTCCAATCCATCACTAGTCCATAGAAGAATTACCTAGTATTTCCCAGCTTGGGGGGAACATGCTACAATCCCTTTGATTCCTTGATGGGATGGTAACATATTGGAGATGAGGACAGGAGCTTAGTGATCATGCTGTTTTTATCATTTATGATTATCACCACAATTTTTACCACTGGTACAATTGTATTACCCATATAGAGGACCAAAAATATACCTCCAAAAAAAAACTTGTAGGGTGTGGCCTATGATCCATATGTAGCAGATTTTTAAGGCCAGGCTCCTTCCTAGTGACTGGGGTATGTAAAATTTGCAACCACCCTTTCCAGCAGGTTCATCTAAGACTCAGAATCCTGCAAAAGCTTTCTAGAATGTTCAGTGACAGGAGGGTTGGTAACTCAGACCATATTTACAGCTAACCATTACACAGTTCCACATCATGAGAGGAACTCCTTAATTTGAGAGGCCTCAATATTTCTGGTAGCTCCAGACACTGTACAAGGGATCGATGCTCCACAGTCAAGTGGGATGCTGCAGCCCTGCGCAGTTGGTAGCTTCAACTAGTGGGAGTCCCAAGAGCTTTACTCCAAGGTGCACTCTCCACTCTCTTGTACAGGGCAACTATTCCTTCTCCATAGAGTTTATTAGGAGTCTCACTCACTCTTCATCACCAACACATTGCAAACACACAATTTTCAATCCAATTTGGATTGAGTTTTAATGGATGTATGGTAACATAACAATTATATTATCATAAGGAGGAATTTCCAACATAGTAAGTCTCAATAGAATATACAGGTGAAACTCGAAAAATTTGAATATCGTGCAAAAGTTCATTTATTTCAGTAATGCAACTTAAAAGGTGAAACTAATATATGAGATAGACTCATTACATGCAAAGCAAGATAGTTCAAGCCGTGATTTGTCATAATTGTGATGATTATGGCTTACAGCTCATGAAAACCCCAAATCCACAATTTCAAAAAATGAGAATATTACATGCAATCAATAAAACAAGGATTGTGCATAGAACAATATCGGACCTCTGAAAAGTATAAGTATGCATATGTACTCAGTACTTGGTTTGGGCCCCTTTTGCAGCAATTTCTGCCTCAATGTGGCGTGGCATGGAAGCCATCAGCCTGTGGCACTGCTGAGGTGTTATGGAAGACCCGGATGCTTCAATAGCAGCCTTCAGCTCTTCTGCATTGTTCGGTCTCATGTCTCTCATCTTTCTCTTGGCAATGCCCCATAGATTCTCTATGGGGTTCAGGTCAGGCGAGTTTGCTGGCCAATCAAGCACAGAAATCCCACGGTCATTGAACCAGGTTTTGGTGCTTTTGGCAGCGTGGGCAGGTGCCTAGTCCTGCTGGAAAATGAAGTCAGCATCCCCATAAAGCTCGTCTGTGGAAGGAAGCATGAAGTGCTCCAAAATCTCCTGGTAGATGGCTGCGTTGACCCTGGACTTAATGAATCACAGTGGACCAACACCAGCAAATGACATGGCTCCCCAAATCAACACAGACTGTGGAAACCTCACACTGGACTTCAAGCATCCTGCAGTGTGTGCCTCTCCATTTTTCCTCCATACTCTGGGTCCTTGGTTTCCGAATGAGATGCAAAAGTTGCTCTCATCAGAAAAGAGGACTTTGGACCACTGAGCAACAGACCAGGTCTGTTTTTATTTAGCACAGGAGTGGCTTGACAAGAGGAATATGACATTTGAAGCCCATGTCCAGGATCTGTCTGTGTGTGGTGGCTCTTGATGCATTGACTCCAGCCTCAGTCCACTCCTTGTGAAAGTCCCCAACAATTTTAAAATGGCCTTTTCCTGACAATCCTCTCCAGGCTGCAGTCATCCCTGCTGCTTGTGCACCTTTTTCTTCCACACTTTTCCCTTCCACATAACTTTTCTATTCATGTGCTTTGATACAGCACTTTGGGAACATCCAACTTCTTTTGCAATTACCTTTTGAGGCTTTCCCTATTTATGGAGGGTGTCAATGATGGTTTTCTGCACAACTGTCAGGTCAGCAGTCTTTCCCATGATTGTGATTCCTACTGAACCAGACTGAGAGACCATTTAAAGGCTCAGGAACTCTTTGCAGGTGTTATGGCTTAATTAGCTGATTCGAGTGGGACACTTTGAGCCTAGAATATTGCACCTTTTCATAATATTCTAATTTTCTGAGATTGTGGATTTGGGGTTTTCATGAGTTGTAAGCCATAATCATCACAATTATGACAAATCACGGCTTGAACTATCTTGCTTTGCATGTAATGAGTCTATCTCATATATTAGTTTCTTTTTAAGTTGCATTACTGAAATAAATGAACTTTTGCACGATATTCAAATTTTTCGAGTTTCACCTGTACTGTACATCTTTCATAACTTTTAGTGCTTGGGAGTTCACAGTGACTACCTAAAATCTTAAAAAAAAAAAAAAACTTTTGTCCTGTCTGTTCCCAAAAGGTTCTACAACAAGGGGAGACAGAACTGGCCAAGTGGCCCCCTAACCACAGCTTCTAAAAGGGTGTACTAAGATGAATGCTAAGCTGACTAAACACTTTGTCCCTTGTTAATTTGAACCTTATATTATTATTACTAATCAGGATTTATATAGTCTCAACAGTTTTGCAGTGCTTTACAATGTAAAGGGAGACAGTACAGTTACAATACAATAGAATACAAGAGTGTTTAGAGAGCCCTGATTATAAGAGCTAACAATGTAATGGGGTGGGGCAAGTGGCACAAAAGGTTATAACTGTGGGGGCTGAGCTAATGGAAGTGATAAAAGTTCAGTTAGTTGGAGATTTTCAGGGAGTGCCCAAAGCAGGCAGAGTAGGAGATAGCCAGACTGACTTAGGTAGAACGTTCCAGAGGATGGGAGAGGCTCTGAAAAAGTCTTGGAGATGAGCATGGAAGGAGACAAGGGAGCTTAAAAGCAAGAGGTCTTGAGAGGAGTGGAGAGGATGGTTGGGATGTCCAATAAACTCATATAGGTAGGATGGTGAGGTGTTCACAAACATTTGACCAGATTGCGTTATTTATTTTAGTCACATGGTAGGAAAAAACATATTTAAAGCTTCTCAGGTTGCCCAGAAGTTAATTGTTTCAGCAACTATAAACAACTACAAAAGCAAGCATTAAGAAATTTTTCTTCTGAAGGCTTTTTGTAATGCATTCGGTCATTATTGCCATTGCTGCTATTGCTATACATCACTTCTATCGCTCTACACAAGTCAGTGTTAATACAATGTGTTTTTGTAAATGTATCTGATATGCATCTTAAATGCAACTCATATTTACCTGAACACATGCTGCATTTGACTTCTGAGTGTGATACCCATATACACAAACCCTTATTTACTGTATGTCCTGTCTGAACAGTTCTCTTCTATATCCTTTTTAGGGTACTTATATCATTACATTACTATATTCTGTGTTAAAAGACAAAGATTATTTTGAGAAACCAGAAGAGTTCTACCCTGAGCATTTTTTGGACTCAGATGGAAACTTTGTTACACGTGAAGCATTTATGCCATTTTCTGCTGGTAAGTAGTTTAACCACATCAATACTGGACACTTTCACCCCTTACCTGTTCAGACCAATTTCAGCTTTCATTGCAGTCACTTTGAATGACAATTGCGTGGTCATGTAACACTGTACTCAAAATGAAATTTCTATAATTTTTATTTTTAGACAGATAGAGCTTTCTTTTGGTGGACTTTAATCACCACTGTTTTTTTAGTTTTTGCTAAACAAAAAGAAAAAGACAATTTTGAAAAAAAAAGCATTTTCTTAGTTTTGGTTATAATATTTAGCAAAAAAGGAATTTTTATTCCTCACTGATGTGCGCTGATGAGGCTGCACTGATGGGCACTGATAGTCTGCACCGATTAGGCGGCAGTGATGAGGCAGCACTGATGAGGAGACACTGATAGGTGGCACTGATGGGCACTAATAGGCAGCACTGATGGGCACTGATAGGTGACACTGATGGGCACTGATAAGCTGCACTGGTAGACACCAATAAGCTTCACTTATGGGTGATGTACTGCTAATCAGGGCAATGATGATCAGTACCATGATTATCTATGTAAATGTGTCCTCTCACAGGAATGCCATTTATCGGCTTTCCTTTCCTCACACAGTGACAGTATGTGAGAAAAGGAAACAAAATTACAAGTATCCTCCTGCGCTCAATACAGGCAAGGTCCCTATCTCAACAGCTGCTGTCACTTTACCTTAAACCATTAAGTAGCCAAATATATACTATAAAATAGTGAAGTGCTAAATAAATAAATATATATATATATTAAGGTGCCAACAGTGAGTGTAAGTGCTATAGTGTTAACAGTTCCTTGTTTAAACACTGGAACATTATAACCAATAGTGTATATTAAATAGAAAAAATCAACCTGAATCCATAATATATCAGTGATGATAAATAAACAAACCAGTGACAAATAATCTTATATCTCCAAAAAATTCCTTCTTCTCATTCACTATTTAAAGTGAAGAGTGCTCATCAATAATAAAAGGTGAACACGTGTATACAAAAAAAACTTTTTTAAGTGCATATATAGAAAATATATATATGTATAAATAATATATCATATATATATATAAATAAATAGAGTCCATGCAAGTGTAACTTGTGATAGAACGGTGGTCTTCACTTCTAGTGCTCAAACACAAATCCTCAAATGGCAGCAGTGCCTGCTCACCTCCCCGCACTGACCCTCAAGGGGCCAAAAGGCTACTGATCTCCTCTATGGCCAATCTTTTTTTCCTCCTCCTCTCGGTAACTCAGCAGGTGATCACAGGGTCTCCACTTCTCCTCCACTCATATGTCATATAGGACACAAAACAGAGCTTCCCATAGTGTAATATTGTTTAATATAAGCCACTTCTATTACATATCGGTTGTACTCACATTTGATTTCCTGCTTACAAAAGCCTTCCACCTCATCCTATAGGTGTATCTCATGAACACAGGGGGAAACCAATATGGCCGCTCCGTTTGGACATGCGTCCCACGTGACCGGAAGTGACGTAGTTCCAAACCGGATATGGCGTACCGACGCGTTGCGTCACGTGCGTCGTGACTTCATCAGGGTTAACGCCCACCAGTGACTGAATGCATTTAAATAGGATCCAGCCTAAAAAACTCTTCCCAATTGAAGGGCGGGCTCTCGGCGGCCATTTTCCCGAAGCCCGCTATCTTCACTATACAACACGGAGGAACATTAACATAATGTCCCCCTATGGGGAAAACCTCGATCTATGCCACTATTTTAATACTGCAGTATATTAAAAATCTCTTTAATTTATTAAAAACCACTTTAATACACATATGTAATTTTATTAAATAGCCAACAATTAAAAACATTATATATAAAAAACACTAAAAAACGTATATAAAAAAATATATATGTATATATAAATACATATATTTCCACATCTTATTAAATTGCCCTTCTACATATAGAGACATCCTAGGTTTTAATATACCATATATTTCAATTATATAACCCTCAAGGAAAAATTAACCTTAATATTAAAATGAAACCATTTATTACTTTAACCCCTAATAGAAACATCTCTACTGTATATAAGAACATCTCATATACATAAAAGGAATCATGTTGATACACCTATAGCTTGAGTTTACAGTATTCCTCATATTATATATATAAACCTTGTATTCATCCTTTTTGTTATATCTCATATATTAAAACAATTAAACTAAACAACATATCAATACACTAATAATTCAAATAAACTCGTAATGAATATATATTTAACTAAACTACTTTGTACTCCCCGTCTATTCTAGCAATAGACCCAAAGTTTATATTAACACATGTTCCGATGTAAGATATATACATATATATCCATTCATATCAGACTACCACCACTAGGAGCTTCCTAAAAAATTATAAATAATCTTAAAAATTTAAAAGTCACTAATAAAACAATTTAAATCAAATTCCACATTGAGTCCAAAAGGTGCCTGTGTATGCATAGTAAAAATCCATCGAGATTCCGCCTGGCTCAAAGATTTAATCTTATTACTTCCTCTCCAGTGTTTGGTATATTTTTGTATCCCCCAGAACCTCAAACCTGAAGGATCCTTATTATGTTTTTTTAAAAAATGTTTGGATACACTGTGTTTCGGGAAACCATTTTTTATGTTCTGAACATGTTCCCTAATACGTTTCCAGAGCGGTCTTTTTGTTCTGCCTATATATTGATAACCACAGTCACACTCCAAACCGTAGACCACACCTTCTGTACGGCAAGTAATAAAATCTTTGATTTTAAACTCCATTCCATCAACATTACATTTAAAGGTTTTACGTTTCACATTTTTTCCTCTCGTTTCCCTGCACCCATAACAATGTCTGCACGGGAAAAAACCTATTTGGTCCAAAAATGTGGATTTTTTCTTCCTATCAGGTGGATCTAACACACTCTTTACTAACCTCATCCTTAATGTGGGTGCTCTTCTATAAATAAATTTTGGACAATCATCTAATATTGGGTTCAACACAGGATCAGATTTCAAAATTGACCAATGCCTCTTGAATATTTGTTCTATTTTTTTGTAGTGGACATTAAAGTCCAGCACAATGGCCATCTGACTATCAAAATTCTCGTCCTTCTTCTTGTCCAATATTAACGAATTCCTCTCCAGATTCCCGACTTCATTAATCTTTCTTTCAATTTCCTGTTTTGGGTACCCTTTGTTTATAAATTTTTTCCCCATCACTTCCGCTTGTTTTTTTATTCTCTTCTTGGCTTGAGCAGTTCCTTTTTAGCCTAACCAGTTGCCCCTTTGGAATATTATACAGCCATGGGGAAAATGGCAACTGTCTACTGGTATAAAGCCGTTCCTATCTACTTCCTTAAAAAAACGTTTTAGTAATAATTTTTCCTCTTTCTATTCTAATATTAAGATCTAGAAAGTTGACTTTGACAGTTATCATATGTCCATGAAAAATTTATATTTCTATTATTGTTATTCATTCCATTCAGAAAACCTAGTAGTGACTCACTATTTCCTTTCCATATAATGATCACGTCATCTATATATCTGGAATATAACATAAGTTCCTCGGGGGTTTGATGATAAATCGCCTCTTCCTCCCAGTGGGCCATATACAAATTGGCCACACTGGGGGCATACTTAGCCCCCATTGCGACTCCTTTTATTTGCTGAAAGAAAGGTCTCATCATGCCAGAAATAATTCTGTTGGAGGCCAAATTCTAAACATTTTAATAAATATCTTCTTTGTGGCCATCCAATATTAGTAAATTGTCTCAGGCCCCAAGCAGCTGCCTCCACTGCTCCATCGTGATCTATAATAGTATATAAAGAAGTTACATCCGCACTTGCTAGAATAACTTCCGAGTTTATCTCTATTTTATCCAGTAGTTGAATTAGGTGCTTGGTGTCGCGTAAAATAGGCTCTTGGTCTTTGAACTGCGGGTTGTAAATAGAAATCCACATATTGACCTAATCTCGCCAGAATGGATTGTATTCCATTTACAATGGGTCTACCTGGAGGTTCCCTCATATTTTTGTGTATCTTGGGAATTGTATATATTATGGGTATCCTACACGTTTCTGGTACTAGGTATTTTGCCTCCTTTTTATTCAAAAATTTCTTATTTTCTCCTTCTTGTACAAGTTTAACCAGTTTCTTCTTATATATTAATGTCGGGTCCTTTGGAATAACTTTATATGTAGTAATATCAGATAATTGTTTATTCAATTCCTGTAAATAATACTCTTTCGACAGAATCACAATCCCCCCTCCTTTGTCTGCCGGTCTGATTACTATATTATCTCTTTTAGAGAGTCTATTAATTCCTGTCTGGATACCAATGTTGGTTGATAATTTTGGAATTTTGAGATTATCCAAATCTCTATTAATCATACGTTTAAAAACCTCAATGTGGTAATAGAAATATAAATTTTTCATGGAATATGATAACTGTCAAAATCAACTTTCTAGATCTAATATTAGAATAGAAAGAGAAAAAATTATTACTAAAACGTTTTTTTAAGGAAGTAGATAGGAACGGCTTTATAGCCAGTAGACAGTTGCCACTTTCCTCCATGGGGTGTATAATTTCAGGCCCAAGCCAAGATTTCTTCTTTAGTATAACTCAAACAAAACGCGGAAGTGATGGGGAACAAATTTATAAATAAAGGGTACCCAAAACAGGAAATTGAAAGAAAATCCCTTAATGAAGTCGGGAATCTGGAGAGGAATTCGTTAATATTTGGAAAAGAAGAAGGACGAGAATTTTGATAGTCAGATGGCCATTGTGCTGGACTTTAATGTCCACTACAAAAAAAAGAACAAATATTTAAGAGGCATTGGTCAATTTTGAAATCTGTTCCTGTGTTGAACCCAATATTAGATGATTGTCCAAAATTTATTTATAGAAGAGCACCCACATTAAGGATGAGGTTAGTCAAGAGTGTGTTAGATCCACCTGATAGGAAGAAAAAATCAACATTTTTGGACCAAATAGGTTTTTTCCCGTGCAGACATTGTTATGGGTGCAGGGAAACGAGAGGAAAAAAATGTGAAACGTAAAACCTTTAAATGTAATGTTGATGGAATGGAGTTTAAAATCAAAGATTTTATTACTTGCCGTACAGAAGGTGTGGTCTACGGTTTGGAGTGTGACTGTGGTTATCAATATATAGGCAGAACAAAAAGGCCGCTCTGGAAAATCGTATTAGGGAACATGTTCAGAACATAAAAAAAAATGGTTTTTTTCCCGAAACACAGTGTATCCAAACATTTTTTAAAAAAAACATAATAAGGATCCTTCAGGTTTGAGGTTCTGGGGGATACAAAAATATACCAAACACTGGAGAGGAAGTAATAAGATTAAATCTTTGAGCCAGGCGGAATCTTGATGGATTTTTACTATGCATACACAGGCACCTTTTGGACTCAATGTGGAATTTGATTTAAATTGTTTTATTAGTGACTTTTAAATTTTTAGGATTATTTATAATTTTTTAGGAAGCTCCTAGTGGTGGTAGTCTGATATGAATGGATATATATGTATATATCTTACATCGGAACATGTGTTAATATAAACTTTGGGTCTATTGCTAGAATAGACGGGAGTACAAAGTAGTTTAGTTAAATATATATTCATTACGAGTTTATTTGAATTATTAGTGTATTGATATGTTGTTTAGTTTAATTGTTTTTAATATATGAGATATAACAAAAAGGATGAATACAAGGTTTATATATATAATATGAGGAATACTGTAAACTCAAGCTATAGGTGTATCAACATGATTCCTTTTATGTATATGAGATGTTCTTATATACAGTAGAGATGTTTTCTATTAGGGGTTAAAGTAAAATGGTTTCATTTTAATTGATTAAATTAATTTCCTTGAGGGTTATATAATTGAAATATATGGTATATTAAAACCTAGGATGTCTCTATATGTAGAAGGGCAATTTAATAAGATGTGGAAATATATGTATTTATATATACATATATATTTTTTATATACGGTTTTTAGTGTTTTTATATATAATGTTTTTAATTGTTGGCTATTTAATAAAATTACATATGTGTATTAAAGTGGTTTTTAATAAAATTAAAGAGATTTTAATATACTGCAGTATTAAAATAGTGGCATAGATCGAGGTTTTCCCCATAGGGGGACATTATGTTAATGTTCCTCCGTGTTGTATAGTGAAGATAGCGGGCTTCGGGAAAATGGCCGCTGAGAGCCCGCCCTTCAATTGGGAAGAGTTTTTTTAGGCTGGATCCTATTTAAATGCATTCAGTCACTGGTGGGCGTTAACCCTGATGAAGTCACGACGCACGTGACGCAACGCGTCGGTACGCCATATCCGGTTTGGAACTACGTCACTTCCGGTCACGTGGGACGCATGTCCGAACGGAGCGGCCATATTGGTTTCCCCCTGTGTTCATGAGATACACCTATAGGATGAGGTGGAAGGCTTTTGTAAGCAGGAAATCAAATGTGAGTACAACCGATATGTAATAGAAGTGGCTTATATTAAACAATATTACACTATGGGAAGCTCTGTTTTGTGTCCTATATGACATATGAGTGGAGGAGAAGTGGAGACCCTGTGATCACCTGCTGAGCTACCGAGAGGAGGAGGAAAAAAAGATTGGCCATAGAGGAGATCAGTAGCCTTTTGGCCCCTTGAGGGTCAGTGCGGGGAGGTGAGCAGGCACTGCTGCCATTTGAGGATTTGTGTTTGAGCACTAGAAGTGAAGACCACCGTTCTATCACAAGTTACACTTGCATGGACTCTATTTATTTATATATATATATGATATATTATTTATACATATATATATATTTTCTATATATGCACTTAAAAAAGTTTTTTTTTGTATACACGTGTTCACTTTTATTATTGATGAGCACTCTTCACTTTAAATAGTGAATGAGAAGAAGGAATTTTTTGGAGATATAAGATTATTTGTCACTGGTTTGTTTATTTATCATCACTGATATATTATGGATTCAGGTTGATTTTTTCTATTTAATATACACTATTGGTTATAATGTTCCAGTGTTTAACAAGGAACTGTTAACACTATAGCACTTACACTCACTGTTGGCACCTTAATATATATATATATTTATTTATTTAGCGCTTCACTATTTTATAGTATATATGTGAGAAAAGGAAATGCCAATAGCCGGCATTTGTTTACATGGGATCAGTTGTGATTGGACACATCTCATCACATGGTAAAGGGCAGCTGTGATTGACCCTTTACCTTGATCTGTGCTATAGCTCAGTCAGCAAGTGGTCAAAGTGGTGCAATTGTAAAGTGTCTTAAATAGGGGTCACAGGCAATCATTGCATATGACTTTGTTTTCTCAAATGGCAACATGGACACTTTATAGTGCCAATGTTGTGGCAAATAAATGATCTTCAGCACAATTCAACCATATTTTGTTTTTAATTTTTTTTTATATGTGCAAAAGACATGTTTTCACACATCCATAAAGACTAACAATGGTCACCAGGGCTATTACTAGATTTTCTGCAGATACTCCACGGCAGCCCTGGGGGAAGTAGATTATTGGTAAAAGTAGCTATTGACTAAGAGAGTGCAGAAAAAAAGGACCTTTCTGTTAGTTTTGTGAACCCGAGCCTAATGTCTAAATAAGAGTATACATACAGTAAGCATCATGACTGGGAGTTAAGAGACACTAAGCTGGAAGTATGTCATTCCTACAGATGGGGAAAGGTAACAATAGTCCATAAAAACCTATTTTCTTTACTTTTTGTTCTAAGGTAAGAGAAGTTGTGTCGGGGAGAACTTGGCTAAAATGGAACTGTTCCTGTTCTTTACCACGCTGCTGCAAAACTTCACCTTCCGGGCTCCCCCAGGAGTTAAATTAGACCTCACGGGTGATTCTGGTTTCACAACTGCTCCATTACAGCACGAGATCTGTGCAATTCCTCGAAACTAAGGTGAACTGGCAACTCAAACATCTACATCATATATATTATACTCCTACAAAGTGTATGAGATGGGTAAACTAGGATCACCTACATCTTTCAAATGTCTTCAGGAGCAAGGAAGTTTTCTTCACATGGTTTGGGACTGTCTCATATCAGCCCATTCTGGTCTAAGGTGTTTGGATTTTTTGCCACTCACTATGAACTGCCAAAACAGATTGGTATTTGTTCGGATACTTTGATATGTCTAATTCGAAAACTCCTTCATCCTTTTTTTTTTTTTTTTGATAAAAGCTGGGATTTTTTTTCAGCGAGAGGGAACACAGTTCCGTCACCTCAACCTCTGAGTGTATGTAATGGCAAGGGGTGCTGAGATGTGCTGGAGGGTTTATTGATGCTGTCTGCTGAATGATCTATTGTCATTGGAGGGGATCTGTTTTTGGATGGGAGTCTACTGTTGCTAGGGGGGGAGAGGTTTTTAAGAAAAAAAAAGTTAGCAGCTGACAAGAGCAGACCTGCAAAAGAGACGGTATATTATGAATCCTATGTGGAGTAAATTATCACCATAGGTAATGGGTGCAAATATTTTTATTGAGATCAATTAGATCATGAAAAGTTTGGCATTTGAATCATGGTGAACACACTGTCAATCATAAAAATAAAATCAGTGAATAAAAAAACAAAAAAAAGCATTCTAGCCAACTTGGATTCAACCACTATGGACTTCCTTAATACTTTTACAGAAGATTTTCTGTCAAATACTTATCTCGGTTTTTTCAGCCGTCTATACCGATGCCGCTAAGTGAAAACGCAGAACGCTTTTTTTGTTTTTAGTCACTAATTTTATTTTTATGATTGACACTGTGTACACCATGATTCAAATCCCAACCTTTTCATGATCTCATTGATCTCAATAAAAATATTTGCATCCATTACTTATGGTGATAAGTTACTCCCGCATAGGATTCATAATATACCGTCTTTTTGGCAGGTCTGCTCTTGTCGGCTGCTAACTTTTTTCTTATAAGCTTTATTTGGTTTAGAATCCACACCTAACTTATGATAAGTCGGGGAAATGCTTTTGATGGGTGGTTATACCCCAAATTAATGGCACTTTTTTTCTTTTTGGGGGAGGTCTTATGTTGCTGGGGGTCAGTTGTTGCTGAGAGGGATCTACTGTTGAAGCTTTGTGGCTATGAATATATAACCATTCTACTTTTATATTCAGGTCTAACTCCAGATTTACTTTCACTTTAGCCCTCATGTACACTGCTTCTCCTAAATGTGAGTTTAGGAGCTTTTTGGCATTTTTTTTTTCCAAAGCCCCTAAACTCAACTCAATAAAAGCCTATCTATCCATGCACACATAGGCTTTTACCAGAGTTTAGGAGCAGCAGAGTTTAGGGGCAATTAAATGTCCCTCTTCTAAATGCAGAAGAAATCACGTTTAGTAGAGGAACATTTTGGCAAAATAAGGCAGAAACATGACTAAGCGCTAGCTGCATTTAGCACTTGGCTGTTTATTCATTTCAATGGCAAACACTCTGGGGCTAAACACAAGTAAACGCAGCTAAATGCCGTGCTACGTTCACACATGTTTTTGCCGTGTTAAGCGTTTTTTCAGTGGCCAGGAGAGCTTGGCGTCCAAGGGAGCTTCAGTGTTCATTTAGCCTTAGATGGCCAGTTTGGTCCAAACAAACTAAATGAACTATTTTGTTTACTAATAATTGCAGATGAGGTGGAGAGGTGGGTAGATGGTGCCACAATCACCACCTCAGCCAATCAGAGGAATCCTTGTGGTCATAGATAAAATACAAGGCTTTCTGTGAATGACAGAGCAGCACTCAGTCCAACTTGATTTTGTTCTGGATTCAGACAAGTCTCAGAACCGGTGCTGGAACACAATGCTGTATACTTTATTTTCTACTTTAAAAGGACTGGGAAGAAGTGAGGTTTATATAAACCAGCTCAATGAAAGAGAAGACACCAAAATAAATGCTTTGATTATTTTCTTTTTTTTTATGTTCTCACAATCAAGGTAAGCAAGCGCAGTGTTTCTGAGAAGTGAAAAAAAAATTATTTACAAACATACTATGCCTGATGAAATGTTTTTGTTTCATACTATATCTTTTTAGAGGTGATATCCTGTATTACTTTCAGATTACAATGCCTGTACATCTATTGCTTCTTGTTCTTGCATATCAAAATCTATTAAAATTACTTTTAAAAAGGCAGAAAATATGTGATTTATAATTTTTTCTTCTTTTAGAAAAGGTGGTGAAAGGTTACAAACTACCTGTTCTTGTGTCTCAATTTGGGAGATTTGAATCTATTGCCTGTGCATCCCCGGAGTATAAGAAAAACAGGATGTGAGGAAATATCTCCCTAGTAGGAACCTCCTTGGGGTCTTTACTGCTGTGTTCCTTTCCCCCACTTCCTGGCCTGATGACTGGGGATCAGAGGGATGGGACACAATAGAAATCTCTCCAATGGTGGCACATACTGCAGCAAGAGTGGGGAAGGGTAAGTTATATTGAGGAAGGCTGTAAATCTAGGGAAGGTTTTAATTGTTGTCTCTACTTTTGAGTTGCAGTGACAAAAAGTGAACAGAGATCTCCCCAGTGATGTCCCAGACAGCAGTAAAAAACCTTGTAATACAGCAAATTACACCACATTGAGCTCATATAACCCTTTTTAAAGGGTATGTGCTTGGCGGTGACATCAAACAAATCCAACAATGTTCCAGAATAGAAGTCCCATGCAAGCAAAAAAAAAAAGCCAACATTTCAAGATTACTCAGACTGCCTTCCTCAAGGTGACAGAGTCACAATGGAGAGAGGTGGAAGAAAGTGGAAAAATAGCACTGGGCTCATATGTAGAATATCTGGGATGCACAGTATATAGTTTATCTAACTGGTACTGCTATCCTGAAGTATTGATGTAAATGATCTGGTTCTTGGGCAGGCAGCTTCTACACTTCAGAGGATCATCTCCTTGGCTTGTAATGTAATGTAACAAAAATGGAAACTGAGGCGCCAAACCACTGCTAAGAGGTCCAGATACAACTTAATTCTAATAAAAGCCAGGGAGACGATCCAAAATGTATCCAATGCATTTCGGGGATCTAAGAATGCCCTCTTCATCAGATCTCACTATTTGAAATTGATGGGATTCTGCCCGCAATTCCAAATTGTAGCAAAACATGCAATGTGCATTTGGGTGCCATAATTCTTAAAGACATCCCAAACACTGTGTGATTCTACTGCAATTGATGTGATTCCATAGGAGACTGTGGCTCTTTTTAAATCCTTAGTGAAATCTACTTGGATATCCTGTGAGTCACCAGTTAGAGAGGAGGGTCCTGGGGAGAGAGGCTGATTTTTCACTGGCTATTTTGACCCCATCAATGACCAAGGGTTGCCCCGTAATAAGAGGCTGCTGGTAGTTTGTAGTTATAAATGCCCTCAGAAGGGATGGGTGAGTGCTCCACCAGAGATAAAGGCCCCAAAGCCAGCAAGACTGCGATAACATCCCACTGGTCAGTGGAGTAGGGGTAGACAGGGCCTCTTGCTTGTAGTTCAGTCTCAGAGACATTGCATGGGAATGTGCTGTTGCTCTATAAACTGTTTGATTTTGCATTTGTTTATCTAACAGTTCCTTTTGTAGGGCTTTCATCTGTTAATAAAGTCCATTCAAACTGTCCAAGTGTGCCGGTGCCATTCTGGTACAGTTAAGTACGGGTCATTCCTGGCGCAGGGCAGAAGGGACCTAAACAATCCAGCTGTTCCCCTGGGGGTAGCACTACACAATTAAATAAAATGCAATACTTACTGTAGCCATACTGGTGTTACACTTGTACTCTACAATCCCTCATAAAGGTTACCAAACTTGCACTCAGGTATTTGCCCTAGTTTGCAATGTTTTCTGATGACTCTATAACTTCTGTAATTGGTGTTTTATTATATTGCAGTAAAGTGTTTTAACTGAGGGAGAAGCCATAGATATGAGACTTTTTATGATTGTGGTGTAGCTATTTATAATATCTGACATTGTATTCAAGTATATTTGGGGCAGCGCAAATGTAAACACTCACCACAGTAAGAACTACTACAGAAAGGACTTGCACAATTATATTGTTCTTATACTACTTTTTGTAAAAAAAAAAAATGTTTACATCACATAAACAGCATACTGCACATGCTAACACTAATACACAAAGTATAGATAAGGGTCAATGATACACCTACTGGTCTTACTGTACATAGTACTGCATGTCTATGTTGAAGAGATTCTCTGTTGGATAGTTTCTGTTTAGTACAAGCTTTCAGGGTTAAAATAACCAGGGCTGTTTTTCAGTGGAATACAGTTCTGGCACCTCCTGCACTAAAAATATATAATAGCATGGGGTGCTGGGGTGTGCTGGAGGGTTTATTGATGCTGACTGCTGGGGGATGCATTGTTTCTTAAAGGGTCTGTTTTATGTGGGGGTCTTTTTTGCTGCTGTGGAGGATCTGTTGTTACTAGGGTGGGTCTTAAGGTCCTGGGAGGGATCTACTGTTGAAAGAGGGGTCTATTGTTGCTGACTGCTTGAGGGTCTATCGGTACTGGCTGCGGGGAGATCTGTTGTTGTTGCCAGTAGTCTATTGTTGCTGGAGGGGTGTTTTGTTGCGGGTGGTCCATTGTTACTGTGGAGATCTTTTGTTTCTGGCTTCAGGGAATCTATTTTACTGCTTTTTTGGGCAACACCCCACCATAAAGCTTTGGTGGGACCTCATCACTTTTTGCACTGTATTTGTGGGCCCCACAGGCCATATTTTTGTTGTAGTTTCTTATCTGACATGCAACCAGACCTCTAACTAACAGAAGTGGCATCAGATGCCTAACCTGGCTTTAGTCTATGCTGCGAACATACATTCAAGAAGCTGGGGTGCAGCTCCAGGTTCATGAATGTCCCCAAGCAGGGGCGGACTGACAACTCATGGGGCCCCCGGGCAATAGGGAATCATGGGGC